TATTACAACTGTAACCCAGCAACTATTTCGAACAAAGATGGATTTTTAATGAATGTTTCATTCATCCAAAGTCATTCTCTTTAGACCCTAACATTTATACAGAACTTGTAGAACATTATACAAACGAGGCTTTATGTTTTCCTGTTAAAGTTATGGATTGGATTCCTATGGACGGTTCATTCTCAAAGAATACAGATAGTTCAAGTGCAACATTTACAGCAGCTTATACCTATTAATGTTAAAAGTATTTGGGGCCACTATTTAGAAAGAAAGACAACTATTATGTTAATTTTGAGAACCCTAAGTTTAAATATCTTCAGCTTTCCATGGCGAGCTTATGGAAATATGCCTGCAGAACCTGAAAAATCATATGGACCTGTATTTTATGAAATGGTTGCGAACGCTTGCAATACAAACAATGATATGATAGGATTTAATGAAGATGTTATGAGGTCATTGGTGGATGATGTAGTGTGGAACATAAATGGGATAGCTATGACAACACACATTTCTTTATGTGGTTTTCCAACAGAAGTGGACTTTTGCTTCCAACAAGGTCAAACATCTACTGCTCCAATAACATACAAATTGTCTGTTAAAGGACCTATTGAACTAGCAACTGAAAACGTACCAAAGCCACTTATTGGATTTATGAGGGATTGTTGCTTTGCCATTCAGTGCGTGCTAATGGCATCCCATAATAAGATTAGATGACTATAACTTAGCACGGACGACAGTGAGGAATAAAGGATGAACGTTTATTTTTAAAGCTTATAAATGAGTTCTTCATCAAGCTCTCGCGAACCTTCACCATCTATGAAACAAACTTTACCAAACGATTATGGAGCACCTATTGAATATTTCTTACGAGCTGCCACAATGGCAAAGAGCAGTTTCACCAAGGTTAGGTGTTCCACCAGCTCCTGTCAAAAATAGCATTTGGTCAAGTCCTTATATAAGATATGGTCTCCCACTAGGTTTGCTAGCTACAGCAGGAGCAGTTATGATGTTGAAAAGAAATAAAGCAAATGTTATTAAATAATACTGAAGTAGCTGAAGTTAAACAAACTCCAACACATTCGCCAAAACCAACGCCTTCACAAGCAAAACCTTCAATAACTCCTGAACCTATGGAAGTACAAACTCCTGTTCAAAGTCAACTCCTAAACCGACTCCAACATTTAAACCAGAACCCACGCCTCAAATAAATCGTAAAACTCCTGCGTTTCCTTACTGAAAAAATAACGTTATTTTTATTTAATATTAAAATTTTTATTTGATTGAAATGACGACTAAAGTCACTGAAGCAATGAAACAAAAGTTTTTGGTAGAATACATTAAATCAGGAACTATTCCAGAAGGTTTTTACATTCATACTATGAAGGATGGTAGAGTTCAGTTTAGAAAGATAAAGCAACCATTAGATAAAGAAGGAATTTTGAGAAAGATTAAACTTCATGAGTCCAACATTGCTGAACTTAAGAAGAAGTTAGAAGAGTTGGAGAAAGGAAGAGAGTTATAAAGTAATGAATTCAACGGGTGAAAAAAGAGGTGAAAAAACAGGTGAGATCTCACCACTTCACCTAAATTTATTTTTTCACCTCTGACAACGTTTATTTTTAAGTTTATTTTTAAGTTTATTTTTTATTTTATTTGGATGTAAATGACAGAACAAAAGCAACTCATACAAATCAAAACATATAACAAACATACATTTAAACATTTATTCTTCCTTCCTGAGCATAACATGTTCTTTCAAATACATCCGAGACCAGTTGACTTTTCATTGACTGTGTATAAAGATAGAAATAGTTATATCATTAAACCATACGATGACGAAGGTAAGTTATGTAAATTGTACGTTAAGAAGTTAGAGAAAGTTTATGGCTTCAAGTATGACTACAATAGGGTTAACACTGATGATGAAGATATTGAGGAAAATTTATGAGAACATTAGTGAAGTCGTTAGTGAGAACGATAGTGAGAACGTTTATTTTTACATTAGTGAGTTCGTTAGTGAAGTGGTTGGCGGCTTTGTAAATATTTAAGATTAAGTTAGTTTTTGCGTTCGTGTTGTAAAATATACGTTAATGGTTTTGTAAAGTGTCAAAACCGCTAAGTGGTGTATGGAGGAACGCAGTGCCTTCGTACACAACTTAACCATACTAACTTTCCTCGTGAAAATACATTCTATCAGATACGAGGGAGAAAGGGTAAAGTTAGTTTGAGCGTTTATGATAGTAAACATAATGGAAAGTTTATACAAGCATATGATACAAACGGTAAGCGTGTTTCATTAGCTTTGTCAAAACTTACTAACATTTATTTTGACAGTGACTTTGACCTATATGAAGAAGAAAGTGAGTCAGAAGATTATGAGTTGTTATGTGAAGCACAGCAATGGGAGGAGTTGCAATACTTTTGTAAGTGAGAACGTTAGTGTGAACGTTAGTGTGTACGTTAGTGAGAACGGTAGTGAGAACGTTTATTTTTTCATGCACGTGCATTGTGTCGTGGGGAGTTGCCATGGGCAATGACCTGCGCACAATATATAACGTACAGAGAGGTGAGATGAGGTGGTTTATGTGATAAATACTTTACGTGGCAGAAATAGTTTAAGGTTATTAGAAATATTGCATCTGTGATGTAAAATATACGTTAGTGGTTTTGTAAAGTGCCAGATTGACATATCTTCGGTAAGATGGCGCGCAGTGCCACAGTACTGAAGATATGTATACTAACTTTTTATATTTTGTTACAATTCGAAAACCACAAATTTTATTAAGGATACCCTTACATTGCGTAGTTAGAAAGAGAATATGATATTGTCATGATTGCTAAAGTTTTAGGCTCCAGAAATGAATATACATCAAACTGAAACAATTGATAAATTGAATGAACTTTTGAGAGGTTCTCAAATAAAAAAAATTATCTAATTTTTTACAATATTACTATTATTTTATCCACATATGTATATATAGTAATTTGAGAAAACTTTTAGGAAAAAATAAGTTTAATAAAAATCTGAATTTTACTTGTTGTGGGATTGTTATTAATTGACACTCCAGACGTATTACTAATAGTTATGCGTATGCAATTAAAGTATTTCTGATGGACAAAATGTGAGATTTATATCAGATAATTCTTTCTTCTACTATTAAGTTATTCATTTATGAGTTTGCACTTATTCGCACTAAATAAATAACTATTAAAAATTGTTTTAATTAATTGACACCATATAATAGAGTGAATTTTGTTTGATCAAACAACAATATATGATAGATATAAAGCCAAGAAACTTGCTATTAATATGCTCTACTTGCTATTTCAATGTAAGTATGATATTTTCTAAATGTTTCGTTCAGATAACTTAGATATATTAGTCAAAATTTGAAATTTTAATAGCACATATATTAAAAATAATTATTATTCATAAAAGATTAATGAAATAGTAAAAAAATCAATCAAATTATAAAAATACAACATTTAGAAGAATTCTTATTATCCTTCAAAAAGTCAGTATTTCTGCTGTAATTTTCTACAACATTGTAGTTATTGCACTTTGTCTATGGATTTGTATATATGTTATATATAAATTATATATCTAAACTGCCCATAAGTGCAATTTTTATATAAATTGTTTATTTCTTTAACAATTTCATATGAAATATGCTTTTTTAAGCGTATCAAAGCTGTGTTCTTAATGTGCATGGATATATCAAGAAAAATGTCGAAAAAAATGTGAATTCAAAAATTCACTGAATTTTCACCGTTTTTTGAATTTTGCTACAGCACTAATATTAAATAATACTAAAATCTTCTGTCTTTGTAAAAGAATAAATTCTGACAAAAAGTGCTCGTTTAAATTTAATGATCATCTGTATGACTAAGTGGTAAAAAGTGTTTATGACCAAAAAAGGGTTACATGCTTAGTCTATTTTTCTGACAGGATACTCTAGATTTACATGATCTCTATTTCATATCTCCGTTTTTAGATTCTTCGACAGATTTTATGATAGAAAACCAAGATTAACAAATTTCCGGCATGTTAATGAAGAAATCTGCAGCTACCCTCAATATTATTTCAATAATCAGTATCGTTTCTCTTACAATTTATTTTTTTCTCAATAATTTAACAAGAAATAACAATACACACTTGGTTTTACGTATAAAAGCTAAGTGTCGAACTTAATCAACTTTACTTACTTAGCAAATGAATATTTTTGTGGTTGCGAGTTCTGAATGCTGAAGTTTTAGATTTCTCTATAAATGATATCATTGCACTTACAATGTTGTTCCAGCCTATCGCATAAATCATAGAAAATCCAAAAAAAAAAAATAATATAAAGAAAATTCATGTCATGAAGTTCAAAAAATACCGTGTAACATTAAAAATTTGTTATGCATAATACATTTTAGCTATTATTGATTTTTTTTAATTTTCGAGAAATTGAATGGTGAGTCCGATAGAGAAATTTTTAAAAAATCCTAGTGCCTCATAGAAGTAATTTCCCTCGTCTCCCATACTTCCAAATGTATGCATATGACATAAACTTTTATGCATTACACAAGTGGCCAATAATATCTATAGAGTAAAAAATTAGAAATTTAATTTTTTTATATGATAGTTATATTTCAGATTTGCGAGCGTAACTTTTTTCTCCATGGCATACTTGTTTTAAGAGCAAATGATCAAAATCGTCCTTCAATTATTGAAGGAGCTGATATCTTTTGAAAATTGAATTGAAAGGGTATTCAATTTTCAAATTTCCTCTCAATTTTGGAAACATATCAACTCTATGAATTAACAATTATGTGCCTTCACAGTTTATCAGTCATATAAGGTGCTTATAAAGAAAAAAGTTACGCTCGCAAAATATGTTTTTATATAGATTTCACATAAAATAATTATGTAATTTCTAAAAAGAATATTTTTGTTCTTGAATATTAAAGTGTATTGTAGTTTAAAAAGTTTTAAATATGTTGCTAAAATTTCAGGTTTATAGCTCATGTCTAGCATGACTTCTTCGTATGCGCAAAAAATCTGACACGTAAGGGTATCCTTAAGTACAATATTTGCCAAACTTGAAAAAGATGAAAAAGCATTTCTTCTTCCAGTCCAAGCACAGTCATAAGCTGCTTTCATATCATCAGTTATGTATTTTTGTATGCGATTTAAACAAAATTCTTCAAGTGAAGGACCGAGAGCAGCTTGTCTCTTATTCAATGTATCAACAGATGGTACTTTCACTCCTGCATATGTTAATATGTCGAAATATTTTTGGATTCCTATTCCGTGAATGTAGCAATTGAACAAATGCTTGTCTAATTCTTGATCTGTATACTTTTCATGGAATGTTTTTGACTTTTCTTTCTCTTTCTCGCCTTCATTCTCAAGATCTTCTTCTTCTTCAAAAATCTCTTCTTCCTCTAATTCTTCGCGCGGTTTCATAATCATCTTGTATCGGTTCGCACGTTTGTTGACATATCATTTCGTCATTTTGCATTTTTGTGCATTCTTTACTAGAATTGAAAGTGCATTGACACATTTGCAGAGAAGAAGTACTCTCATTGTTATTAAAATTATATAATCTACTATAAATGAATTCTTATGGAATCGCGCCATCTGGAACTGAGATTTCAGCTCTAGAAATCTCCGCAAAAGTACTTATATATTTAGTGGTGATTTGAAAATACTAGATGGTCTGATAATTGTAATCATTGTTCCATCTTTACAACCAAGCTTTTTCACTGTGAATAGTGTTACCATCATTCAAAGAAAAATGTTTTTGTTCTTTTTCAATATTTGAAAAGGGCTTAGAAAAAAAAGTAACTAAATATGTTTTAAATACTCCAAATATTTATATATGTATAAAAAAAATATAAGATATTCAATAAAAACGTGACTACAAAAAACGATGAATCTAAAACCAAGTTTTTTAATATCTATACATAGTGATGAATCTATTTTTCTTATTAAAATTCAAAAAAGAGGCAGTTCGGAATCGTCCACAAATTGCCGAAGCCCTTTTTGCCAGTTTTGAATCCGCTTATTTTTATCGACCAAAATTATAATAAATATAATTTTGGAATAGTATTCTACCTATATCATTCATCAAAAAAATAATTTTTCGATATAACGGCCTAAAAAAACTTCTCAGAAAAAGCCTAGAAAATTTCGATTTTTTTCGAAAAAAATCATTTCCGAATTCATAGCAAGCTTTTTCAAAAATAATCATATCGATAGATAGGGGATAATATAGAGGTGCTTTATGAATAACTTAAAATTCGGAAAACTCAATATTCAACGAGAAAAACGCTTAACGAATCTCACTTTTTTGTAAACATCACAAAAAATTGAAAGCGTTATCTGGTCGGAAGCCTCCATTAAAATTTTTCTTTCTTGATTTTTTACAAAATCTACTTAGAATTATGCAAAATATGACTAAATAATTATAAATTTCAAGTTAAATTTTAATTTTGATAAATAATTTAAATTTCAAAATATCAAGTTCAGTTCGGGAACAGGACAAATTTGCCACACGGCACTTTTTTTAAAAAAATTAATGGAGCGGAGCGATACTCTGCTGCAGGAGCCCCAAGGCTCCCAATCATTACGAAAGGGAGCCTCAGGGCTCCTGAGAATCCATCAGCAGAGGCCTTTTCATTTGGCCTCTGCTGATCAAAGATTCGGCGAAGCCATTCTTCGTCTCAGGAGCCCCAAGGCTCCCAATCATTACGAAAGGGAACCTCAGGGCTCCTGAGAATCCATCAGCAGAGGCTTTTTCATTTGGCCTCTGCTGATCAAAGATTCGGCGAAGCCATTCTTCGTCTCAGGAGCCCCAAGGCTCCCAATCATTACGAAAGGGAGCCTCAGGGCTCCTGAGAAACCTCTTTAAGAAGGTTTTCTTAAAGAAAACCTTCTCAAAGATGATTGTCAGCATTCACTCAAAATCTACCAAGAGTTTCAAAGTTTCAAATCTATCTGAAATGAAGCTTTGAATCTCTTGTATATCTAATTGTAGAGGTACCTTTTCAAAATGTCTTCTATTGATTAAATTTAATCAGTAAAAGTCATTTTGAAAAGGTACATCTCTATAATTGCTATTGAGCATTCACTCTTGGAACCTTGGAGCTCTTGTGTAGTGCATGAAAATATCTCATACCGAAATGGCTCACCAAAAAAGTGACATTTTTGGCGCCAATAATTTGATTTTTCTGATTCTTTCTATTTAGATATATTTATTTAACCGAAATATAACTGTACAGAATTACTATTTTCGAGATAAAATTCATATGGAAATACTAATTCATAACGCTTTATGTTATATAAAATTTAATTTATAAAAATTTCAAAATAAATCAAATTTAACACAATGAATATAACTGCAATCGAGATTTTTGACGATTGATTCTTACGTGAAGTTTTCCAAACTTTGAGTTAATGTCTTGACATTAACTCAAAGTTTGGAAGTCTAATAAAGGGAATTGTAGGCTATGAGGTACTGATTATATATCAGTGCCTCATAGCCTACAATTCCCATTAGAAATGGGAGAAACTTTGTCCGCATAACTTATGATGCGGACAAAGTTTCTCCCATTTTACTTAGAATGAAAGGGCAAGAGGTATATAGGTACACTATATATCTCTTGCCCTTTCCTTCTTACCTAAAGACTTCCAATCTTATTTTTTTTCCAATTTTTCCCCTAAATTTAAATCTTATATAATATAAATAAAATGCATAATATCAATCACAAAAATTAATGTTTATTTTTTAATTAAAATTGCCGCGCAATTTAAGGTTTTCTGTCACTTTTTTGTTAGCCATTTCGGTACGAAACAGTGTAGTGCATGAAAACTCCAAGATTCTAGCATAAAACATATATCATAGACATAATTTCTTCAAATATAATTTAAGGTTATTTTTTAAAAAATTAGAAAAGCGTAATTTAAGGTTATTGAAAAAGTGACACTTGGCAAATTTGTCCCGCACTCGTTCAGTTCGACGATGTATGTAGTAATTCCTCAATAAAGTGCCAAAAACCTATTAAAATATATGAACATTTTCAACATTTTAATGTTTTTATTTAAAAATTTGATGGAATATGAGCTTCAAACAATTATTATGTAAATAAAAATAATTAAATATATGTATTTATTCGTATTACAACCGTAGTAAGTCGATTCTTCCTTTCTTCTACTGAGTTTTGAATTTGATTTCGAATTGTAAAAAGATTCAAAGGGAAAATACTAGCGGATAAAAACTACCTCCATGAAAGGCTCATAATGGAGTCAAGTTGTATTTTTTGATATTTTTTGCTTTTCGAGCCTAAATAGGTAGCCAAGATAATGCCTAAAAATAAGGTTCTAAATTCTGAAGTTTACATGATCCTCTCGTGTGCACCCTTAAAACCATTTTATTCTAATTAATTTACACGGATACTTATTGGTAGCACTTATTGTAATCGGAAATAGCTAAACGATTCCATTGAGGAAAATTTGGAAAAAAAACCAAAAAACTCGGTCACCGGGAATCGAACCCGGATCAAAAGAACGACAATCTTACATGATAACCATTACACTATGACCGATTAAATTTTTAAACTGTTAAATAAATTAATGATACAATTATATCGAATGACATATGATATGAAATATGATGTGATGCATTGAATGAAATTTTAATGCTTAGCTTCCTGAAGAAAAAGGAAACAAACAATAATAATCAATCTTCAAAAGCATGGAAGCCTTCTACTCCATCTCTTTCCAAACCTAATTCAAGGACTCTTTCGACAATTTCCAAATCAGAACCCTCTTCATCTTCCATTCAGCCTGAATATAATTCAACAAAAGACCTATGCGATGCAATACAATCTGCAAATAATGAAACACAAGCAATCCGTATAGAGATAGAATCAATCAAAGAGGAAGCCAAAAAGATTCATGAAAATCTCGAATCATATTCCAACAAGATACAAGAGAAGAAAGACAGTCTTAACAATGACATGACTGCCATCGAACATTGTCATGAGCTTCATCAATCAGTAGGAGCTGTTTCAAGCTTAATTTCCCAGAAGTTTGAAGAATTATCAAAAATCTCGACGAAGATATCAAATGAAGTCAATGAGAACGATAAAACTATCAAAGACACAGAAGGGGAAATCGAAAAATCATTACAAGCAACTAAAGAAATCGTTTCGAATACAAATAATATTAATTCCGAGCTCAATTCACTAAATGAACAACAGAATCAAATCGAAAGCGACGTTAAATCAACAGAAACAGCTATATCCACAAACAATTTGAAGATTGAAGAGTGCAAATCTTTAATTTCAAATTTAACAAAGGAAATTAAATCAACAATAGATGAAAATGATGAATATAGCTACAACATCGAGAAGACAAACAAGTTTACTTCGAGATATCGTCAAGAAATCCAAGAAATCGAATTTGATATTTCCAATCTTGATGAACAGCTTAAAAACAACAAAGACATAATTACCAACCATCAGAACAAGATTTCTGAATTCAATTCTACCCTCAATTCCATTCCACGGATTGATTATTCAGCCGATTCGATGAAATCTATTGAAGAAACCGAAAACAGCATTTCCATGATGAAGAACAAGCTAGAAATGATACAAAGCAGCATAAATCAGCTGAACCAGCAGATTTTGCGTTCAAAAAACGGCACAAATAGCGAATTCTCACAAACTGTGCAGAAAGAGAGCGAAATGACCCAGAAACTGCAAATGAAGAACAAAAACCTCGTTTCCAAGCTATCAGATGTGCAGAACAAGCTGGACCAGCTCCATCTCGATTTCTCAAACTCCGTCGACGAACTCCGCAAACAGATGTCGCTCTCCATGGAGTACAAAGCGACTCTGATCCAAAACAAGGCCGAACTGAACCAAAAAGTGAATTTTGAGCAAAACGAAGCATTCAAACTCAACCAGGAGATATCAGAGATAATGAGAAATATCGATGCAGCAAAGCAGCAGAATCAGCAGATACAAAATGAGATTTCTAATGTTAATAACCAGATATCTGCTTCACAACAGAGTTCGTCACAGATGAACTATAGAAGATCAAATACATCATCAAGACAGAAATCAAGAATACTTAGCCTTGATTAAATTTTTTTCCCTTCTTCTTAATTTTAATAAACAAATATTTTAAAATGTACATTTTTTCCCCTTATAATTATGATCACGTATGAGTAAACATCTAAAGATATACATATACATAATTGTAGTTAATGTTTACTAGGATGTTGATGAAAATATACAAATATTTTGAATTAACATATTGAAATAATATAACTTCATAGGACTTAAAGGAGAAAAGACTACACTCTTTCCATCCTTTATTAAGTGAAGTACGAAAAAAATTGAAATAAAAAATATTATAAAATTCAAATATTTCTTGGTGGTAGAGTTGCTGATTGAGTTGTGATAATTTCGGCCGGTGCAAAGTGAGTAATAAATGGTGATAACGTACTATCGATTGAATCTTTTTGTGACTGTGAAAAAGAACGTTTTTCAACTGAGGTACTGGCCCTTTGAAGTAACTTCTTTCTTGGAGAGCATTTGGCTGTTCTGACTCCATTCAATCTTTTGCTTTGACAAAATTGCGAATAAACAACAGGCGCAACAAGCTTTCCAGGGGGAACTGGTTGACTAAAAGATAATGGAGCCTTTCTGGTAGAGGGGTTTTCGATCGATCGTTCAAATGTGCGTGTATCGAATAAGCTTTGAACTGGTAAATGATCATGCTTGGAATAATTGGGTGGTATATAACGCTTTTCAAAATGGATTGGTTCTGGCAAATTGATCAATTGTTTAGAATCGCCATCATATATGTATATCCATTTTCCATTCGCTTTTGTTTTGAGTTTAGATGACTCCCAACCTCCAACGTTCCAACGTCTAAGGTCAAACTGCGATGGATCAATAGTTTCCTCCATCGTTGTGTTTGAATTTTTGAATTGAATTCAAAAATTTAAAAAATAAATTAAAATGAAAACAATATTTAGAATTCAATTATTAAAATCTAAGAAAAAATTTAGTTGTAATTGAGGGAGAACTTTTGAGACATATTTGCATTATCAGAAGAAAATAAATCAAAGTTTTCGTTCAGGTCATTTGGCCGAGTGGTCTAAGGCGCCAGTTTAAGGCACTGGTCCGCGAGGGCCTGGGTTCGAACCCCAGAGTGACCATTTTTCCCTCTTAAATCTTTCCAAGATTCACTGTTCATTAATTTTGACTCTCTTTTCTAAATTCTAATGAAAATGAAGATATACAGTAACTTACACTAATATCAAATAGTTTATACAACATAACATACAAAAAAAGACAACAACAATATAAATTTAATCTGAGAATTTTTCTTTCTCATTTACAATTAATTGGTATAGTTTTTCAGCATCATCATCATTTTCGCAGTCGATTAAAACCTCCTTTCCGCTAGGAAGATAAAATGAGACATATTTATCTTCAGTTTTCAAATCTTCTATTTCTTCAATTGGAATCTTTTCACCAGAAACAGAAATTTCTCCATTTGCGATGCAAACATCATCAGGAATTTCGACTATTTCATCTTCATTTTGGACTTCTCCTGCTAAATTATGCAGAGTCCAGTCAGTCAATCCGTAGAACAGATCAACAAAAGCCAGAATTATATTTGCCAAAAACAGAGTAAAACATATGAAAATACTTGAAGGGCGTAGTGATCTCAAGTTTGAAAAAGATCTAAAGGAAATGCACAAAGCTGAGATAAAGCTCAGCACACCCCAAACAGCGCGATTACTTTCTATGATATTCTCAGTATTGCATAGGATGTGCAATGTATTTGATAAATATGCAAATACAGTTTGGATGATAGAAATACCAGTCGAGAGAAATCTGACAGTGAATCCTTTCTTCTTATTGTAGAAGTACTTCTTGATGTTAGAGCTTGGAAGCCCCATTAACTCTGTGTTTCGCATTAAACTAAACCCAGCTCTGAAGAGTGACCTCTTGCTAAAACCATTTAAGACCGAGAAAAGCGATTTCACTTCATTAACCTCAAATATTGGACGTTTAAACACCATTACAGCGTTCTCAACTTTTGGAAGGACTTGGAATAATCTTGGGAGACTATTTTCAACGTGTGGTTGAAAAGAAAGAGCTAACTTTGTTGGACAAACCTTGATGTTTTTCAAGCAAAAACATTTCCACAAATTTTCTGGAATGAAAAGAGATAATAAATAATATATTTCACACTCTCTAAACTGTCTTTCAAAAGGTAACAAATATAAATCAGGTTTTTGGGTAAAGTTTGGTGGATTTTCTGGAATTAACTTCAAAAACTGGGAAATGAAATTCAGGTCCAAACACACGGTTGTTTGTCCGATTTCTATAGTTAAATAATCGATCTTAATTAATCCCGAAAAATGAGAATTAAATTTGATGACAAAATCTTTGTTTCCTCCATCAGAAAACATGACATTTTCAAAAACAGGCTTCTGCATTTTGTTGATCAGATTGACGGAACTCAAAGAAAAATTGATCCCGAAGCCGCTTTTGTCAAATTGTATATCTGTATTCTGATTCGAAAGCAATAGCAGGCAGAGTGGCCTCATTTCGGAATCCGTGAAGTTCAAAACCATCTCTCTGATTATGAAATTGATATCGAAAAGAATGTTATCACTGATTATCTCTGGAATTTCTGAAAATTCAATAGAAACTTGATCCGAAAACAAAATGAAATTAACTAAGTAATACAATGCACCGTCTAATTTCTTTTGGAAACTACAGCGGCTGAGATCCAATGAGAAGAATTTGTCGCAGGCTATGACATCTAGGAATGAAGAACTTTGGTAAAATTTTTCGACAACGAAATAAATTGTTTCATTAGGTTTGATTTCAACAAACTCTTTTTCACTCTGACTTTGTTTTACTTTGATTGATAAGTTTGTTTTGTTCGCAATTCTGTGTTTCCTTGCTGTTTTTGCTGCTTTTATTACAATGTGCTTCACATAGTTTTTATTTTCGACATGTAAAGTGACGAATTCATTACCTATGTAAAGGTCTTGGTCTTTCTTTAACTCCAGAACGTTGATAGGTTTCGAGTATTTCGAGTTGTTGAAGGAAATCTTTACAAGAAGCGATGTGTTGATTGAGTACAGAACGAAGCCTTGCTTGGACATCAGCTTGTGATTATGCGTGGTTATTGTGTCAACAAAAATATCCCTACTCAAGTCGTTGATGATGACAGTTGACGGAACAATGAATATTTCGTTCTCATACTTGAAAACGTTTATTGGAAATTCCTGTGAAGGCAAGTTTTCAAGATGCAGATGATGAGTTTTATGCGAGGTATTGATTTCTTGGTTCGAAATAAAAATCTTATCTAATGAATTAATTAGAGTTATTTCATCTTTTGGAACAAATACCAAACCATCGAAAACACCAGATGATGGAGCGATATTGTCAACTTGTTGCTTGCGCAAAGATATGCTTGAAATCGATCTAGAAATTGACTTCCTTTTTGGACTTTCTTTCACTTTTATTTTGTCCTTTTTTATTAAAAGTTTCAAATCCTCATCATCAGTTTTGTCATCAAATTCATCATTAATAAATTTTGTAACAATTTGCTTGGGTTTTTCTTCATCAGCTAAAATAGAGTTTTCCGCTTTATCGCTCCTAGGACTTGAAATAATTGATTCGTGAGAAATGCTTTTCACCATCGATTTAGGCTCATCTATTGATAATCTCTGTTCTTTTTGATCAATTTCAAATCTCGGAGATGACAAAATTCTATTAATTTTCGCCATATTTTGGCTATTTGAAAACTTAACGGGAAAAGATGATATAACAAATGGAATGTTTGTCAAGTTATGAACAACATTTCCAGACAAATAGATTTTGTTTGATTCGTCAATGTAATAAGAAACATTTGCCTTGATTTCATTGGATAGAGTGACTTCTATTTTTCCTTCTTTTATTTCTGTATCAATTTTGCATTTTGATGATTTAATCCTGTCTTTTGAAGAGATGTAAAATCTTAGGAATTTTTGCTCTTCCGAGACTTTTACTAATCCGACATAATTGGAAGAATCGACATAGTTATTATAACTTGCTGACATTTTTGAAGAAATAAAAATTGCGAATGGTAAATTATTGTAAACTAAAAATAGTGGATGAATAACAACTGTTGTCTGGGAGTTGCGCTCAACGGGAGTCGAGATCAAATACAAATCTCCAATCGTAAACTTAACTTCGCCAACCAAACTGATTTTATAATATTGTTCACCTGCAAACAAATTTAATTCTGTCGAATTATTAACATCTAGTTCGCATTCATCATATTTTGAGATCAATCGATTATTTATTATTAAATTCAATGGAGTTTGATTTTGTACTTTGAGTTTTGGCTGAATTATCACCTTTTCATTATTAAAAACAGCGATAACATTTAATTGATTCAAAACAACAACTTTTTCTTCAATGAAATCACTCAAAACAATTTCTTCAGTGTTTTTGAAGTCGGAGAGATAGAATACTTCGAAGTACTCCGTTGTGAAATCGTGTAAAGAAGAGTTAGGCTTCAGTTCTATTCTGTGATTGAAGTATTGCAAAACAAAATTTCTATTTGTTTCGTTTGTAAACAGGAGTGAAGGTTTTTTGTCTTTGAAATTTATTGTTTTCAAAATTGATGAGAGAATCTTTTTGTTGATATTCAAATTCAGCGGATGATCTATGCTGATGTTCATTTCCGCACATTTCTTCAAGTCAAAATTGAAAGTCATATTCGATTTTTCTATGAGATTTTGGCGATTGAAGTGTGAGGAAGATGAAAATCCTTTGAAATCTGTCTTGAAGCAAACAAAATTGTCTATGACATCAAGACTTGTATTTACGCATTCTATTTCTAATGTTTTTGGTCCGAATTTCATTGATTTTGTTTGGCTACAAAGCGACAAATTTATCCTATCAAATATAACTTCAATATTTGGTAGATATATTTGTGAAAGCTTGAAAGGATATATATGGAATTCCTTGACAGAGTTCAGCAAACTTAGAATGTGCCAAATGGAAGAAGAAGCATTCAATTTACCCAAAACAATATTGAACTTCTCGATATCTCCTTTGATATTAATAAACTGGAGGTTAAAGATGTCGCAATTGTTGAATCTTGCAAAAACATTTTTGATGCCTGCATCAATTGAAAATGCTTTTGTGTTGATTTTTGCGGTCATAGTATCGGACAAACCGCAATGGATGCAGTCTGAATTCGGCAAAACTAAAACTAAAGAACTTGGCTTCATTGTCAAATCAATTGCCATTGGAGGTGGCATCTTTATATTGGCATTCAACAAAATAGGAATAAACTCCTCGTAAATCTGCAATAAATTGATTGTCAAAACAGTATCATTGACTACAATTTTTGATTTTCTGTTTTTGAGGTCGAAGTCGATTAGACACAAAGATGAATTTTGGCATTCGACCTTTGAGAAGATCATATCCATCTTTTCCATGCTTAAAGAGCCTCTCAATTCATTTTTGTTGACAATAAAATCAATTTTTATCGTCTTGAGATTTAAATAATTGTAAACTGATAAATTACCAATCTTTGCAGACACATCGAGCGTCAATCCATCTGGGAATATTGTATCTACATCAAATGGAACAGACAAAAAGTGGTTCAACAAAAAGTCAGTCATTAAAAACGGTACTTTTTCGAAATCCAAATTAACTTTGAAGAGGCCTCCGTTTATCTCGAGAGAACCAGTAACAGGAAATGTCTCTGTGAAATGGTAGCTATCCAATCTGATGAATACAGATGTTGACACAGCTAATTTCGAGAGCATTCTAAAGTTATCAGCATCAAAATTCGAAAATTCAAGAATGAACTTCTCTTGTTCCTTCAAACTTGCGTCGACCATGAACTTTTCGACAGAGAGCGACATTTTGATTGGAGGAATAGTGAGGCCGCTGGGCAAGTACATATTTAAGTTCTTTGGCAAAAACTCGAAAAATCGGAAGAAATAGAGATGGCAGAATGAAACATTCATTGTGATTGCGAAATCTTTCAAGCCGAGAGATACTTTTTGAGCCGATATTATACGCTCAATTCCAAATTGTTCAACATCCATTCTTACATTCAACTCCGGGATCATAGTCTGAATTTTCGCTGATTCGAATGATAGTTTCAGCGGAGAACTCCAATATGGCATCCCAAGATTTATTGTTCCACTTGGAGCATTGATGGAGATACTATATTTTGGAAGTATGGAAATTAAATGGAGGATCTGATTTAATTCAATGTTTGGTAAAGGAAGTGGCAAAATTGAGTACAAAAGATCAATATTACTCCAACTAAACTCTGCAGTGAAAGGTTTGACATTGATTTCTGTACCTTGTTTTGTTATTTTACATTCCATATTGAAATCATCTAGAAGTTTGTGCTGGATCCTCTTTCCAAATGAAATACTGACATTTGATAAAGTGAGGTTTACCAGAAAATCTTTTGCAGAAAACAGAGACGTCGAAATGGCTAAAGATTCAATCACTATCAAGAAATCTACTTGATTGTTCATCTTCAAAAAGATCTGCGTTGGTGGAGTATTCAACGAAAACTCAATTGGCGGAATGATAAATGCTGGATGCTTCATAATTTTGATAATAGTCTCAATCATTCCGAACAGATCGAATGGGATCTGAACGCTAAGCAGTTTTGGAACATCTACAGTGTAATTTGTAGCCAAAACATCGATGGACAAGCGTGTGAAAAACTTGGAATTTTCGTTGAATAATTCCAAATGGATTTTGAAATCCTCATTATCTGTATCTTGTGATTCAAGTACTATGTAACCATTTCTGAGGGCAGAAAATGCTGTGGATGTGATATCAATGGAAATTCCGTTGTTGATTTGCTTTAAATGGAGAGTTGGCTTGGAAATATTGAAAACAAGCCCTTCTTGATCAGTCTGTGATCGAATTCTGCAGAATAGTAGAGGAGTTCTGAACATGAAATGGATTCTTGCCAATAGATTTACAAAAATATACTGGCCATCAAAGTCAATTTGATCAATAACTTTTTTCATCGTTTTGAATGACAGTTTTCCAGTTTTTGAGTTCTCAGCCATTGATCTCCATAAAATAATATTATAATATGGAAAGATAATATCACAGTATTGTATAATTTTTGGTTTCTCAGGTGGATTCGGATTAGATTTCCATTTAGAAGTGTATTTTTTCATGAATTTGAAAAGATTTTTGAAATTTCCGATTCGAACATCTTCTTTTTCATTCATTTTCCTAGATGTTTGGTCTACAAATTTCCAAAATGCAACTAGATCAGTATTTATATTCTTATTTCTCAAAACCAATGAACCTTTTAAGTATTTAAAGAATTTCGGTATTTCTATCATGGTTTGAAATAGAAATTCTACCTGCCAATCAGTCAAATCTAACGTAATTTTTCTTGTTTTCGTATCAATTTCAATTTCACTGTTGATATCTTTCATTGAACAAGTTCCTGTCATGTTTCCTGGCAACATGATCCAATCATGAGTCGAGTTAATCGCATTATTCATCATTTGAGAAAAGATAGCCGTATTTGAACAATCAATTGGTGTCTGATTTCGATCAATATACGCAGATATATTCGAAATACTGAATGCACGTTCAACAAGTATGTTGTGAGGTTTTTTAACATCGTCTACTATGAGTCTATCCAGTTGAAAACCAAAAACTGTGCAATTCCGGTTTCCAAATTCTATTCTGACGTTAATTCTATCAATTTGGAGCTTAGCTTTTGCTACAATACTTGTTATAGTATTTACGAATAATGATTGAGATATTATTTTAAGTAAGGACTTAATTTTTGATTTAAAAACTTCATGAGCATTAATCTGATGCTGTTTTATCTCACGTAGTAGTTTAACTGATGGATATTGCTGATCATTTGAACACCAACATTTGCAAGAAATCATAACATCACTTACCTTTAAAACCATTGGCGTCGTCATGAACGTTGCCCAGGGAATATGCGCTCGAATTGACTTAATTATGCCTTTTTCAATAGTAATAGGTATGTTGTTCTGCAATAGACCGTACTTATATAATTCTACGTTATTCATTTCTAGGTTTGAAGTAAGTAAAGATAGCTTAAAAGTATCTTTAGTAAGTCCTTCAATATATGCTGATAATGCGGCGTTAACAACATCAGCAATTAGCTCGTTAAACATAAGTGAAAAATAAAAATAGCTATCTTCTGTTTGTATGTCAGATTTTTTCAAAAAAAAAGATTAGAATATTCCCGAAAATCGTTTAAGTTTAACTTAGGTAGAAAATTGGTAAATAAACTTAATGCTTGAGTTGGCGGAGTTCCTCCTCAAGCTGAGCAATTCTTGTGCGGAGCTTCTCGTTCTCTTCCTTGAGAGATTCGACAGTTTCCTCGGCTTGAGCTTCGACAGAGAAAGCAGCGCCATCAGCTGGGGTGTATCCGTTCTCGAGAGAGATCTTCTGGAACTTTGGCTCACCTCCAGCCTTCCATGCGTCGAATTCGATGCCTGGAACTGGTGCGTTTGTTTCTGGATAGATATCCTCCTGGAAGATCTCAGCATTCTTACGTGGTACAATGACCTGTGTTGTCTGGAGTTGCTTAGCCTGGTTGATGATGTAAAATCTGTCGATTTCGCAAACGTTTGTATCGACGCAGTACTTCGGAGCACGAGCAAATGCACGGACAGCTTCCTTGCAAGCGAAAGCATTGCATGTAACAAGTGGATTTTCTGCTGATTGTAATTCGTAGAAGCGGATAAGTGCATCACCACGTGAGAAGCAAGCAAGAACGCCTGTATCTTCATCAATAAATGGAGCGAGGATACCGTTGTTAGAATCGACATCGATTTGGGCGAGTGGATTCTCTGGATTACGGATATCGCGAATTGCGATTCGTCTGCCAGAGGAGGATGAGAAGCCTGTTGTAGCGACCATGTTAAGCTTGTCGTAGAATACAGCACGACCACCACGGAGGCCTGGATGAGAGTTGACAGCAAATGTCTCAGCGTTGGCACGAATATCGAGGACGTGGAGCTTCTTGTCCTTCATTGGGTAAACAAGGAGGTTACCGTTCTGGTTCCAGTTGATATCAAGGAGATCATCCTTTCCAGCCTTGAAAGTGAAAACGCAGGAAGCCTTGGAAACATCCCAAACCTTGACATTCTTTTCAGCACCGAATGTAGCAATGCAATTATTAACTGCTGGGTTCCATGTAACACGTTGAACACGACGGGAGTGACCCTTCATAACAGCGAGAGATTCATTCTGCTCTTCGACATCAGTGCCATTAAACTTGATTTGCCAGACACGAAGAGTAGCATCTTCTGCTGCTGAGGCAATGATGTTATCATTGAATGGGTTGAAGTCAACATCAAGAACACCGCCTGTGTGACCACGGAATAGTGAATTTGTTGTTCCAACTTTGCCGTAGCCATTAGCTGGAAGAACTGCAAAAAGACCACCACCAGATGTTTCAACTGGGTATGCAACATAGCGATAGTTGGCAGCAAGAAGGTTTGTATCAACAGATGTTGTAGAGATGTTGACCTCTTGGTATGATTTCTCTACCTTCGCAATTTCTGCGTAGACATGACGGTATGGGGATGCCATTGTCAAAAAATAAGTTAGGTGATGTGAAAAGCTTTATGAAGTGATGAAAAGTGACGGGACAATCTCACGTGGCTAATTTATCGGTCATTTAAATCTATATTTATCTATCACATAATATTCGGGCTCTATTTCACAAATAAAAACTGCTGTTGTTAATTTTGAAATTTGTCAAATTGAAAAATGGTTTAATATTGTATCGATCATGTTAAATAACTATGGAAAGAAATGGAGTTGAATAATAAACAAAGAATGGAGTCTGAAAACTATAAATCATGAGTAGTAGGGTATGACGGGTTGTGTGACTTTTTTTGTTACATCTATATATAGACGATGTATTAAAATATATTTATTTATAAATCATTTAAAAAATTAACATTAATTTTAAAATAATTTATTTTTTTATCTTTTATAAAAGAAGCTATATATAGATGATGTCAGATATTCCGCGATTAATTAAACATTGTTTAAATCCTGAATGGGTTAAACTTCAATTTAAAAAGGAAGACTGTGAATTATTAAATGAATATGAAAGCCAAAATAAGCTAATGAGGTATAAATATAATGATAAAGAATATTTAATTTCATGGAATCAATGGAGTCATAATCAAAGACCTCATAAACGAGAAGAAGAAATGGAAAATAATGAAATGGAAATCATTGATGACATTAAAGAGGATGGAATTCCTAAATTTTGTAGAAAACCTTTAGAACTAAGTTAGGAGCATATAAACGTAGAGTATTAAATCCTGAATATCTTAAACATATATTTAAAAAGGAAGACTGTGAATTATTAAACGTTAATGAATATGAAAATGCTAAATCAAAACTGAGATATAAATATATTGGAAGTGATGAAAGGTGTAAAGATAAAGATAAAGTTTATTCAGTTTCATATAATAACTGGCACACGTTAGGGATAAGAAAACATTTAGGAGATTATGGGAAATGTTCTGAATTCTTTAAATCTAGTATATATGAGAGAGTAAAAGAAATTAGAAATAATTATTTTCATGAATAAAAGATTCACTACCATAATGAAATAAAAAAATAATTTTTTAAAAAATAAACTTTAAAAATTCATGTCTTACATTTTTTGAATAAATGAAGGGTCCCTCGGTCCCTCGGTCCCTCGGTTAATTAACATCTTTTTGAAAATAGTGACAACATGACATTTTGACAACAGGGAAAAAAAAAGGAGGAAATTCATGTCTTACATTTTTTGAATAAATCAAGATTTAAAAAATTGACTTCTTACGTAAAATTAAAACTAAGTTAAATTTATTTTTTTCATCTTTTATTTTATAATAAATGAGTATAACAACTAATTCATTGAAATCTTTAAAGTTCACTAATTCAGAATTAGAAAATATTTTAGAAAATTTTGGAGACGGTTCTTATCCAACATATATGCAGAATGTGAAAGAGTTTTCCAGATTGTTGAATGAATTTAAATATAACGGACCAATTACTAAAAAGGCTATAATGAGATATTTATATCCCAAAAAAGTTGAAAAACAGGAGAATATTCCTCTTTATGGTCCAGAGGACCTGGGCTCAGAGAGCCTTGAAACACCTCCTGAATATTTTGAAGAAAAAATTAAACAAGATGAATATTATAACGATGAGATTGAGAAATTGGAACAATTAAGAAATGAAATAGATGAAAAAATTAAGGAATTGAGAAATGCTGAGAATGAAGTAGAGGGTTTAATGAATATCCCAGCTTCAGAATCAGAAGTTCAAAAATCACATGAGGAAAGATATAAAAATTACTTTTTGGAATCAACACAAAATTTATTAGATGGTGAAATAGACGAAACACTTTCAGAAGAAGGTACTAAATTTATTCGTAAACATAAGTTACAATTTATTGATAATGAAGAATACCCTTGTATCTTACTTTCACCACCTTTAGATTCCGAAAAATTCAAAAAAGCTCTTAAAAACGTGACATATGCAACTAATACGATTAAGAAAGAAGATCATGATATTTACACAAATTATTATTTAAATAAATGCACAGGTGTTGATAAAGTTTTTGATTTATTAGATAAAATATCAAAAGAAACCATTGGAACCTATAAAATTTTGTGTGATTGTGGTTTCATTATTGAAGATACCAATAATGTTTCATATGAAAGAACAGCACCGAAGGAAGACGAAGTTGAAAGGTCTATACCATTCGTTATTAAGAATATAAAAGATATGAAAACTTATAAGCATTATATTTATTCATTTATTTCAGAAAAAATGGAAGCAACCCATAAAACATCATCTCATCATTTTATAGCTATTCATACATTCCTTTTCAAAGTTGTGAAATTAAATAAGACAGGAATTAGATTTAATGTATCAGGGTACACATTCTTGAGTAAATTAAAATGTATTCGTCACGTCGCAGATGATAAAAATTTATGTGTTCTTAATTCATTTTATGGACTTTAGCCCTGGACTCTCTGAGTCTCGGACTTTAAAAAATAAACTTTATTTTTTAATTTTTTATTCTTACATAAATGAACAAAAATGGAACAGCTAAAATGAATGATAATCAAATTAGAGCAGAAGGTAGAAGGTTATTTAAACGCTTCTATAACATTCCTGATGGTGCTAATCCTAAAACTCGTAGAAGTTATTTAAATGAAGCAATAGATTCATATGAAGGGTTTGACATTTCATCAGAAAGTGAGAGATTAGCGAGAATGTTAAATGTTAATATTGATTTCTATTATTGTGATCCTCAACCAGAAGACGTGGACATAAATAAGGTAGACTTTCCATTAGTGGAATCAATAATGATAGATCCAGAATTTGAAACAGTAAATATTTTATTAACACAGAGTCCATGTGGAAAACTTCACGCTGACAGAATAACAGACGTTGAAGCACTCACAGGATATAAAGTTTGCCCATATTGTAAAGAAGAAGTTTATTCTATCCGTGATGATCCAGAAAGGAAAAACCAAAGAAGATTTTTAAAACATTGTGAGAAATGTAAAGAAAATAATGGAAGATTAATTCAAGACGTTCAATTGCAAAAGACACAGCAACCATATGCACCACATATTACGAAACAGAAGATATATCAGTGGTTATTAGCTCATAATTTGCAGGAATATTATCAACCGACAAGATATTATATTACTTTTGACTTCGAAACATTAGAGACTAAAGAAGAACTTCTACTTTCTGAATGTGCAACTTTGAACGCTTACTTAAAACCATTTATGGTATCATCAACTGTCAAAATAAAGCCGCAAAGCGGCGAGGTCGTAGACCGTGATAAAACATATACGAGGAATTTTTGCTTAACTTCGAGTGATTCTTTTATTTCTGACTGGATTGAGTTTTTATTTTCAACCTGTTCATTAGTTGCTAAATCAAATATTGAACAATATGAAGAATTAATGAATACATTAAATGAGAAACAAAAGGAAGCAATGAAAGAGCTTTTAGATGAGGAATTCAATAAAGTGAATATCATAGGTTTTAATTCGGGAAAGTTTGATTTAAATTTAATTCTTCGTGATTTAAATACTGCAAAATGGAAGATAAAATCAATACTGGGTTCTTCTTCTCAATTTAAGCAAATCATTGTAAAGAAAACAAACACTCCATATGAATTGAGATTTATTGACATCAGAAATTATATAGCGGGTGGAACATTAGACCAATTTACTCAAGATTTCGGAAACAATAAAACACGTATTAAATCATTCTTCCCATATCAATTCATCACATGGGAGAATTACGAAGATGAATTATATAAAGAGGAACCATTCACTCAAGATTCATTTTATTCAGCATTAACACAAGAAACAATATCCGATTCAGATTATCAAATATATCTCAATGATGCTAAAAATTTTAAGAATAGATTAGAATATTTTATTCATTATTGCAATAAAGATGTTGAAATTATGATTGACCCAATTGATAAAATTATTGAAGAAACATTTGTTTATAAAATTGATATGCTTCATAATCTTTCTTTATCATCGAATGCTTCAATGATTCGTTACGCGTTAGCATATAAGAACTTTAATCCTAATGAAAAATATCCTGAGGAAGAAAATGTGGAATCAAGTTTTGAATTAACGAAAAAGTATTGGAAATATAAAATTGAATCATATAAGAAACAAGATGAAAAAGCAGAAAGGGATACTAAAAACAATGTTTCAATGGATGACTATCAATATTTTCACGATTTAATCCTTTCATCTAAATGTAAAATGTGTGGTAAAGCGTTTACATATGCAAATAAACCAACATTGGATAGAATCGATAATGAAAAACCACATACCAAAGAAAATTGTCAGTTAATGTGTTGTTATTGCAATGTCGTAAAATCAAATAAAGATGAAGATGTTCAACGTTTAAGAATCAATTTAAGAAATTATGCATTAAAAAATAATTTACCAATGACTTTAGATTCAGTTGAAGCTTATCACATTCTCCGTAATGGAATTACTGGTGGTCTATCAAATGTTCAACATCGTGTTAATCTTAAAGGAATCACGCACATTAATAAACTTTCATATAGTCCAGAAACTAAAACTGTATCAAATGAGGACACCACCAACATTATGACTCATTTCGTTGGTGTTGATTTAATTCATTATATCCTTCATCATTTTCATCTAATCCTCATGATTTCATTCAATATACTGACCATAAAATGTATATGCCGGGAAGATTGAATGGTGTTATCATTTGTGATACAGCAACAAAGAAAGCAAAAGCACTGGGAATTATTAAGAAGAAAAATACTTTATTCGTGGCTGAAGTAAAGGGTCACATTGATGAAAAATACATTAATGATTACATTAACTTTTTACCGATAATAAGAAACTTAGATATTATCACAGATGAAAAAACAATTGGCAGTTTTATGTATAATTACATGAAATCAAACAATCTACCAGTTGACCAGAAACAGAGAAAATTAACTCAGTTAGCATCAACACACAACCAATATCAACCATTTTCTTCTTATTATCTTT